AATGAGAAAAAACTAGTTTATTTAACCGGAGACCTGAATATAGATCTTTTGGAAAATTACGAATCTTACAGTAGTCAACTCCAAAATTTACTGACATCTTATAATCTAAAAGCATTAATAAATAAACCAACAAGAATAAACATACAAAAAAACTCTCTGATTGACAATATTTTTACCAATGCATCGGAGAACGTAACAGTTTGTGGAGTGCATTTGACAGACATTTCGGATCACTTACCCATATTTGCATGTTTCAAGCAACAATTAGTGAAAATAGAATTTGAAAACCGAGAAAATCAATTTTCTTTTTCAGGACACAGAATTGATAAACTAAATGAAAGGCTGCTATCAACCGACTGGACAGATGTGTTACTGTGCTCAGATGTGGATGCTGCTTTCGAACTTTTCACCAACATTTTCCGTGTGGCATTTAAAGACTGTTGTCAGATCAGCTCATTAGGAAAGATTAAAAAAATTTTAAAACAAAAGCCTTGGGTAACAACTGATTTTCGCAGAATGCTGAATAAAAAAAATACTTGTACAAAAAGTTCATTAAAAATTCAAGTAGTGAGAATTTTCTGAAATTTAAATCACAAAGTCAAATTTGCAACAAGGTTAAATCTATTCTGAAAAGGCAATATTTCTGTGATTTGTTGGACAAAAATAAAAATGATCGAAAAAAACATGGTCAATAATTAATAGGTTAACAAGCAGGCAAAAAAAGATCAACCCTGCATCGATCACAGATAATGAACAAATTATAGCATCGCCTGCAAATTTTCTAAATAACTACTTTGTTAACATCTCTCAAAACCTTCAGAAATCCTTACCGGATAATCAATCATGGAAAGAAACAATTCATCATCAGTTGCCAAACTCGTTTTTCTGTTTGCAAACTACAACAGAAGAAATAATAACTACAGCAAAACTAATCAAAGCAAAATCGTCTTTTGGACTGGATGAAATACCTAGTAAAATTGTTATGGCTACCATCCGATCAACAGCACATGTGCTTGAACATCTTATTAATCTGTCTTTTATGTCAGGTCAATTTCCTTCTTGTTTCAAAACGGCTAAAATCATTCCCATAGCAAAGGAAAGAGGAAAATCAGATTTTACGAATTATCGACCCGTCGCACTATTACCTGCTTTTTCTAAATAATCGAAAAG